TAACCAGTATTTATTGGTTCTTTCGTTGCCCTGGAAAAAAACGAAAGGGTTTGACTACTACACCTTTCGGCCAAAGATCGTGTTTTGTAAGATCGTCAAGTAGGTGACAGTCAAAACCTACTTTAAAGGACTTTGCCAGACTTTCGTTTCCGTTGCCTTTCGGAATTTCGTCAATTATAACAGATTCAAGTGGAACTCCCCATATTTATAGCAAATTAAATTGCATTTTTGCGTTTCATTCATCTAACTTTTTTCATGATTCTCATCTAGTGAATGTTTCTTTTCATTCCTAATGGAATTCGTTATTAGTCTGATATTTTGGTAATATTTTAATATTGCATTTCTTTACTTATTTTGACAGGACTATTAAGATTTCAAGCGATCCAGAACCAGATCCTTTCCATAATTAATCAGGAAGTGATGAAGACTATGTCCCTAGGACTAAAAAGCCATCCAAAGTATCAACCAAAATATCACACTATTTTAAAAATATTCAGCCATCGACTTCTAAGGACACTGAAAGCATGCATTTCAATGTTTCCGATGTAGAAATAGTTGCTAGCCCCACTACTGCATCTACATCCACATCTTTATCAACTACAACTGTAGTAAGTAAAATTGAAAAGTGCAAGAACACCTCAATGCTGGATGGAACATTTTTCCTGGTTGAAACATGTGATAAGAATTCGCATGCCGAAGCTCTGTGCCAGTTATGTCTTACTTCAAAAAAGATTATCTAAGATTGTTCCATGGAATGAATGTTAATGTTCCCCGAAGAAAAGCTGCAATGAGACTTATTAATGAGATGTATAATTCTTATATAAAGAATCTGAATATAAAAAATGTTTTGTTCCACCAAAACAAGAAGTTTCATGGGTGTTAAACCTCAGTTAACAGTTCTGTTAGTAATCAATGTGATGATGAATTACAAGCGAAGAGAAGAAAACCAGATGAAACTGCAATAAGAGATTTTATATATCGTATTGGGATTGTTACAATGAGGTAGTTAATGACATACCTGATATAAATAAAGTTGTATTCAATGAAAAAAGTCCTATTGGGGTTGAACTTGATTATTATCTGCAGTGTCCAACACCAAAAGAGATACTAATTCCTATGAATGGTGGAGTACTAAGTAATAGGTTTTTAATATCCGGTCAAAGCCGGATATTTGGTTACTATCCGGTATCTGGTCGGATTTAAAAAAATGGCCGGGTAGGCCGGATATCCGTTCCACCACTACTACATACCTGAAGACTTGCGAATTTTTTTTCTCGATGAGCGATATCAGGAGTTGAATCAAAATATTTATTTCGTTGATTAGTTGATTTCAAAGTGTGGATGCTAGAAGATGAATAAATTCATTTTGAATTTGTGGTGATAGGTACGGGACAGTTTTCGGCGTTTGCATGACATTTTTGAGATGATTTGCTAGTAGTGAATCAAGCTGCCCCTGGATAAGCGAAATGTAGAAGCTAGAAACTACCCAAACATTCGTTCTCATAGTTAGCCCAATTTATTGTGAACTCTATAGTGAACTAGTGCTTGTATTATGTAGCTGGGTCTGATCTTATGAAGCTGTCTTCCTACCTGCAGATGTCTTTTAGCTATTGTCTCGTCAAGTATTGTCCCCTTCGACATTTTACCCCCAGGTATTTTCATTATCTGTAAAGTAAAATTTTCATATTTTCATATCTACCTCGATATTGACGCATCTAAGAGCAAAAGTGCAAGACAGTAATATTATCAACAATAAAATTTGCAACAATTTTTGTTATAAAAGTTTCCTTATAGCAAGCTCCGATTCTCAAGTGTTACTTTTAATAACTTGAAAGAGCAACAAATTCATAAAATTTTCATATTTTCCTATCTATCTCGATATTGACGTATCTAAGAGCAAAAGTGCAAGAGAGCAATATTATTAACAATAAAATTTGCAACAATTTTTGTTATAAAAGTTTTCTTATAGCAAGCTCCGATTCTCAAGTGTTACCTTTAATAACTTGAAAGAGCAACAAATTCATAAAATTTTCATATTTTCGTATCTATCTCGATATTGACGTATCTAAGAGCAAAAGTGCAAGAGAGCAATATTGTTAACAATAAAATTTGCAACAATTTTTGTTATAAAAGTTTTCTTATAGCAAGCTCCGATTCTCAAGTGTTACCTTTAATAACTTGAAAAAGCAGAAAATTCATATAATTTTCGTATCTATCTCGATATTGACGTATCTAAGAGCAAAAATGCAAGAGAGCAATATTATTAACAATAAAAATTGCAAGAATTTCTGTTATAAAAGTTTTCTTATAGCAAGCTCCGATTTTAAAGTGTTACCTTTAATAACTTGAAAAAGCAACAAATTCATCAAATTTTCATATTTTCGTATCTATCTCGATATTGACGTATCTAAGAGCAAAAGTGCAAGAGAGCAATATTGTTANTATTTGTCGTAGGATTCTCTGGACCTAGTTACAGAGGCCAGCCACCCCAAAAGATCTAGTGTGTCCCTTTGATTTCTAGTCTCCTTAGACATATAAATTGTTTTAAATTTAGTATTCCGTTTTTTCTTATAGGCAAACGGGAAACAATCATCGAAGACTGCACAGAATATATTATGAAAAACATCATACAACTCACCTGCGTTCTCGGATTTTTGGAGAGGCTGCCAATCCACTGTGGAAAGAGCGATTTTTAAAAAAAAGTGAGTGTTCTTATCATTATAAATTCTTTTTTTAATTTTTTGTGTTTTTTCCTTTTTTAGATCTTTGTTGGTTATCATCAGTATTTGTCCGTAGTGGTCACCGATGTGAAGCTGCATCGTGGTGTTTCTTAGACAATTGTTATTTAGGTTACAAAATATATTATCAATACAATTACTAGTTTTTCTATTCACTCTAGAGGGTGAGTCAAACGTTTGTTGCAGTCCAAATTCCCTCATCAATTCTAATAGGTCGGCTTTATTGACACTTTCATGCAGAAAATTGATATTGAAGTCTCCTGATACTATAAGTTTATAGTTTGGATAATTTTCATCAATGTGAGTTAGGATCTCGTTTAAGGCACTTAGATAGGTATTTATGTCGCCGTCAGGAGACCTATAGATGGACAGGATTATCATCTTCCTGCCTGTTAATTCAACTGCTGACGCCTCAATGTGCTGTTCAATACTTTTATCTTTAACATACCTCAGTTTCTTGTATTTTATACCGGTTCTCAGCAGAATACCCACGCCCCCGCCTCTTTTGTGTGTTCTACAGTACAGTGAAGCCCATTTATGAGTATTTGTGGCGATAACCTTTTCTGCATGTAACCAGTGCTCGGTGACACACGCTACATCTACTTTGTGCTCATTTAGCACTGTTTCAAACGCATCAATTTTATTATTTAATGATTGAGTATTGATATTCATGACTACTAACCAGTGTTTATTGGTTCTTTCGTTGCCCTCGAAAAAAACGAAAGGGTTTGACTACTACACCTTTCGGCCAGAGATCGTGTTTTGTAAGATCGTCAAGTAGGTGAAAGTCAAAACCTACTTTAAAGGACTTTCGTTTCCGTTGCCTTTCGGAATTTCGTCAATTATAACAGATTCAAGTGGAACTCGGGCCGTGAGGTATTGTCGTAATTTTTCTGCTGTGGTTTCCTTGCTTAGCTTTCCTACATAGAGCCAGGCTTTTTTTTCTGCTGCCTTAATAATTTCGTTGTCTGTTACCTCGGCAGTACCAGTGATGCGTGCTGAATTCTTAGGTTTACTAAAATTCTTCTTTTTTCCGTGATTATTACTGGTTGCTGAAGCTGTGGATTCTGATGCGGAAGCCTTCTTCACGTTATCCGAAGTTTTGGCGCTCTTAGAACTATTTACCCTCACTTCACTATTTTTTCCTCCTTTCTTACTTGTTTGGATAGAATCCTTTCCCAAAAGGTTGGATTCTATCTTTGTTGACGTTTTTTTGTTTTTTAAATCATACGGCACGTTCACATTCACATCTGTGGGGTTATCGCCCTGTTGTTGTTTGTCAATGTGAGACAGGTTTTTCTTAGCCGGCGTCTTGTTATTTACGAGTATATTTAATAAAGATATCTGTTTCTTAAGTGAATCTATATATTCACGTAGATCAGTTATTATAATATCTTTGTGTTTCAGAAGTTCTTTTAGGTGCGTTAAGTCCTTTAAGTTATTTTCCTGTTGCACATCCACCGTACTACCGAACGATAATTCAAGTTCCTCGTCAGTTTTTACCGGTTCGATTACACCGTCACAACACGCTATTGTTGTTTCGTTAATTATTTTAACGGTTTTTAAATGTTTTACGCAACTATGATGCGACACTACACCGCAATTAATACACTTAAGACCCGTCAGAGCAATTTTATTGCATCTTTTGCAAGTTTTACCGGCGAGATCGGATAATGTTGAACCGTTCTGCGCCATGACACTTTTATATCTTAATATGTTTTTCTAATAGAAAAATAAATTTAAAGTCAAAAGTAAAGAGTAATATTTTATCGTATTGGGTTTAGTTCTTGAGATATGGCCATTTTAATAATTCAATGTTGGCGTTTTTTGCTAAATGTAAAATTTTCAAGACAAATATCTCAAGAACCAAGGGTGATACGAAAAAATATTATTTTTCTATTTCGATTTAAAAATCATTTTTCTACATGATTAATGTCGGCGTTTTTCTTTATAGTTGCTTGGTATTGAGCACCGTCCCAAAAATTAATTAAAAGTCCGTTCATTGAGATAATATGCTATTTCTTCGTTTCCTACTCAAATAACACATTTTTTTGTAGTTTTAAGATGTTTTCCTAGTAGACAAACAAATTTAAAGTCGCTAGTAAAGAGTAGTATTTTATCGTGTTGGCTTCAGTTCTTGAAATATTGCCCTTCTAATCATTCAATGTTGGGGTTTTGTGCTAAATCTAAAATTTCAAGGCAAATACCTCAAGAACGGAGGTGGATATGACAAAATATCATTCTTCTATTTCGATTTAAAATTCATTTTTCTACATGATTAATGTCGACGTTTTTCTTTAAAGTTGGTTGGTATTGAGCACCACCCTAAAAAAGGGATAAAAAGTCAGCTTTTTTAGATAATATGCTATTTTTTCGACTCCTACTCAAACAAAATATTTTTTTTATAACCTTAATATGTTTTTCTAATAAGAAAATAATAAATTTAAAGTCGAAAGTAAAGAGTAATATTCAAAAACTTTTCAACAACAAAATATTACAATAAATTAAAATTATTTTTAATTTTAAATGATTTCCTTGTGATCTCCCTTTTTTGTGGTGCATACATTCTAAGGAAAAAGCCATCGCTACCGCTGTATCAGTTAAATGATATTGAATAATTGCATATTTAATTCCATGGAAAAATGCTTCAAGTTGATTTTCAAGGTTTCCTTGAGAATTACTTAAACTCATATAAATACAATTATCAACGTTTGCAATTGCACAAACCCAATCTAAAGCACTTCCTCCGAATTCTTTCGAAAATATTTCCGATAAACTTCCTGTTTTAACCTCGACGTCTTTTAATTTATCTGTTACAGCTTTGTGGATGTTTCCACTCATCTTCGCCGAAGAATGTTTTGCGTTATTTTTAGCGAAAGGAATTCCTATGAAAGCATCTTGATTCGAGTGTAAAGTGATGTATAATTTTACGTCGCCTAATTTTTTAATATAATTTTTTAAATTAATCGTTTCGGGTTCAGAAGAATATTTTTTTCCTTGATAAGAATTGCAATCGGAAAAGATTGGTTGCGGACCAACATCAAAATTCATTGCAATATTTACTCCGGGACAACGATCATCACCGTTAACGTTAATTGAATAGTTTGCATCCTAAAAAGAATTAATTAAAATAAAATTATTTAATTTTTGTTTAAATTTACATTTTCAGCTATTTCATAACCATCCGGATTTACTAAAGGAATAACAACAATTTTTATCCACACCAAAAGGCCAGTTTCTTTCACTAAAATTTCTCGGAGAAAGTAAAGGGCCATATTAACTGATTGCCATTCGTTTCCATTTTGTCCAGCGTCGATTAAAACGGTTCCAGCATAATAAGTACTGTGTCGAATTTCGATTGCTGAAATCGGCTTTCCCAAGAAAGAATTTCCTATTGATTTAACTTTTGTTGTTTTTGGATTCAATCCTTCGATTTCTTTAATATAACTTTTATATACATCATTTAAACTTATTTGTTTCGTGTAATGGATTGCTTTAGGGCTAAAAATATAAATTAATAGTTAACTTAAAAATGTTAATGAAATCATTACGGAGTTGTCCATCGATTTGGTTGCCCGCAAATTTCCATTAAGAGATAATAAAAAAATGTTGATTTAAGTATCATTTTTCTTCTTTGACATTGACGTTAATATTTAAATATCTTGTACATACATACGTGTCTCTATAATTGTGAAAATGTTCGGATGCAACGTTTCAATCAAATTGTGGTATTTTATATAATCACATACCGGGTTTTTCATACAACCTCACCCTTTCAACTAAAATAAATTATTCGTACGTTGTAGTATAAGCCTTTATGATCATGACAAAGATTGCGACGTAAAGTTTCAATGAAATTGCGATAAAGAAAGATATATTTTATGTAACCACATACCTGCAGTAAGAAATAATGCCTCTTTTGAGAACATATCTAATTGATTCATTTTCTCTTATTGATTTAGGGATAAACATCAAGCGAAAAAGCTTCATAAAGATTACTTTTCCTAAAGCTTTGAAACGTTTTTCTTGAAGAAAAATATATTTTAAATCGAACATAAAGAATAGTAATTTATTTATTAGCTTATGTTTTCGAGATATTCCCTCTTTAAATTAATAAATGTTGACGATTTTTGCAAAATCTGTAACTTTAAAGGTAAATATCTCAAGAACGAAGGTTGATATGAAAAAATATTATTCTTCTATTTCGATTTAAAAATCATTTTTCTACATGATTAATGTCGACGTTTTCTTTAAAGTTGGTTGGTATTAAGCACCATCCCATAAACGGAATAAGAAGTCCGTTCTTTGCGATAATATGCTATTTCTTCGTTTCCTACTCAAATAAAATATTTCTTTGTAACCTTAATATTCTAATAGAAAAATAAATTTAAAGTCGAAAGTAAAGAGTAGTATTTTGTTGTATTGGCTTTAGTTCTTGAGATGTGGCCCTTTTAATCAATCAATGTTGGCTTTTCTTGCTAAATCTAAAACTTTTAAGGTAAATATCTCAAGATCGAAGGTTGATACGAAAAAATATTATTCTTTTATTTCGATTTAAAAATCATTTTTCTACATGATTAACGTTGACATTTTTCTTTAAAGTTGGTTGGTATTGAGCACCATCCCAAAAAAAGAATGAAAAGTCTGTTTCTTGAGATAATATGCTATTTCTTCGTCTTCTACTCAAACGAAATATTTTCTTGTAATTTTAAGATATTTTTCCAAAAGAAAAATAAATTTAAAGTCGAAAGTAAAGAGTAATATTTTATCGTTCTTGAAATATGGCCCTTTCAACCATTCAATGTTGGCGTTTTTTGGTAAATCTAAAATTTTCAAGGCAAATATCTCAAGAACTAAGGTTGATACGAAAAATTATTATTCTTCTATTTCGATTTAAAAATCATTTTTCTACATGATTAATGTCGACGTTTTTCTTTAAAGTTGGTTGGTGTTGAGCACCATCCCAAAAAAGAAATAAAAAGCGCGTTCTTTGGGATAGTATGCTATCTCTTCATCTCCTATTCAAATAAACTATTTTTTTATAATTTTAAGATGTTTCTCTAATAGAAAAATTAATTTAAAGTTGAAAGCAAAGAGTAGTGTTTTATCGTATTGCCATTAGTTCTTGAGATATGACCCTTTATGGCAAGCATTATTTAGAAAGTGCAAAAAAGGTAGTTTATTATTTTTTGTTGTTTCTATTGTAAATTTTAATCTATTATTAATAATAGATAATACTATTATTAATAGTTTTGGTTTTATTTGTTTCAATTATTTTGTTTTTAGTAGGTTATTCAATACGATTCCACTTACATTAACGCTAAGGTTGGAACACATGGGTACACCGAGAATCTGTTTATAATATATGTCTTTATACTTGAAATAACTATTATGTGTACATAATTTAATTCCTTCTATGAATAGATTTTTATTTTTAATTACTGTGTGATCAACAATGTTATGCCAATTCTCTTCTAACAATTCTATCATTAATCTTAAAGGTATATTAGTAAAGAGATAAATTAGAAACATTACATCGAAACTTAGAACTTCATAATTTTGTAAATTTTCCATTTCAAAAGTCTTCAATTTATTCTTTAATTCTAAAGAATTTTTCGTCGAAGAAAAATAATGCTTTTAATTATATAAATAATAAAACATTTTGATACTGAGAAGAAGTGTTTTTTATATATGAATGAATAAGTCAAACCTTAGTAAAACAAGAATTTCTGTATTAATATTACTATGGAAAACACAAAAATCCATGCACATTTCAATAAACCAATAGAAAAGGACAGTTTTAACATCAAAGAAGAATGCAGACGCTTACTTAAGAAATTTCACGTGGGTGCAGTCGGTGAGCGCATTTTACTAAAACCAATATTGAAATTGACAAATGCAAAATGTAAGTTAAAATATTTAAAACAAGCAGAAATATTAGGCATAATACCGTTTCAGTTCACATGAGTGCAAAAATGTTTAAATAAGGTTTATTCAGAAAATGTTTTGGTAATGTTAAAAATTGGTTCAATACAAAACATTATACTCTTATAAACAATATTAAAATAAACTATATTCGCTTCCACAACAAAAACTTTAAAACCCTCGAATTGGGCCATATTTCCAACCTTAACTGAAATATGTCCCAAGCAATTTTTTAAAGGATGGAATATTTGGCCCTATGATTAAAGTAACCAAAACGAGTATTAAGTGCATTTAGGGCACACATAGTCTTCGGTATCTTCTAGCACTAGTCCCGCACAAACGTCATGTACCCAGCAGGTATTACACTGAATACAACGCCGCGTGTCTCGTTCGCAGTCCTCGTCGCATAAAAAACAATACCAAGCTTCTTCATCGTTCTTATTTTGTTTCTCTTCAATTGGCGGATTTGTCAACTTTCTAAATAAGTCTGTTTTCAATAGCTGGGCTTTATAATTGACTGCTTTCTTTCGAGGATTTTTCGTCTGCTTGGCAGTTGAAAAGTCTGGCGTCTTTAAAATGTCAGCAAATGATTTTTTCTTTGGACTTTTCTTCGGTACAGAAGCGTTATCCCGGTTAGGTTGTTTCACAGTTATGACACTAAGTGTCTTTATCTTTGATGTAGCAGAATCGGTTTCCTTGTTGGCATTGGTCCATGAGGAACAACCAGGACTAGGTTCATGTGATGATTTACCTGTAGAAATCGGGCCTCCTTTTTGCTTAAAAGGAATCAGTGGGATATTGCCTTCATCATCAGATTTTTTTGGTTCTGCTTCAGTTTCTTGCTGTTTGTGTGTAAGAAGTGACGGACTAAAAGCAGTTTCTGGGATGACTGATGGGTCGAATGGGTATATCCCTGTTGCTCGAAAACCACTTTGGATGTTTGAAATTAACATACATTGTTGCCAGACTTTATTGAAGACAATCCCGAATCTATCCTTCTTTAGAGTTCGGCAAGGCACATTTGTTGCTTCCCAGTAATTCAGCAGTTCGGTGTCCCAATAATGTTCAAAGGATCGGAAAACAGACTTGTCTAGTGGTTGCAATTCGTGGGTTGTATTTGATGGTAAGCAGTACAAGGACACATCCAACTTTTCCGCTTCTTCAACAATGGAGATATCTAGGTGACAGGAAGCACCATCAATGACTAAAAGAACTCTTCCTGCTGGCTTGAGTTTTGCAAAATGTTGTAGCCAAACAATAAATAACTCCCTAGCCATGCTCCCTTTTGCAGACATTTGAACAGTGGAACCAGGGGGAAGGTTGTCTGAGTAGGTATCCTTTTTTCTTAAACCTTTGAAAATAATCATTGGTGGTACCGCTTGTCCCAGTGCGTTGACACAAGCTACTACTGTCACGTTTTCAGCATGTTCATTGGCTAGTAAATGAATTCGGTGTTCTTCCTTTTCTGCTAAAACCTTGTGAGCATGGTGCAAAGTTAATCTGCAACCCTTTTCATTTAGGTTATAAATAAATTGGGGCGAATGTTTTAGATTTAATTCGCGTAAAACGGTATCTAATTCGGAAAAATGATCCTGTACGATGGTTGGGTTCAGTTTTTGAGCTCTAGCGATGTTCATCATCTGCGGCTTCCTTTTGGCGATGTTTGGGTGCCTCTTTAGAAGTGACTTGTACCAAGTAAATCCAGCAAGTTACTTCTCATTGTTGAATTTGTGGCCGATATTTGCTTCTTGACAAAATAGGAAAATTTTACAACTCAATATTAGATAATAATTAATTATAATAATATTAATCAATATTATTATAATTTTTATTACTCCTATAATATAGAATTGGTCCAGCTAAAGTCAGCTGATCTGTCAGAACTAAAAATCTGTCAACTATAAACTAAAAAGTATATTTAATTTTAGTTTGCAGTTTTAACACAAGGGGCGCTGTCGTCAGAGCCACAAGGTATAACTCTGAATTAAGTTCGCCCTATTTTGGAGCAAATTCCCCACCACTTTTGTACGCTCGTTTTATCTCTTTATACTACTTCGTGGACATAATGTATCAATTTTTTTTGTTCTTTCTGAAACTATTGTATGTACACTGTTGGAAATAATTCACGAGCACACCCTATATAATCTGAACGCGTGAAGATAAAGCCATAATATTTGCGGAGCACAAAGGTTTAGTGTAGACGAGTTTATTCAAGGAGTTTCGAGTTGTTCCGTCGCGGCATTGTTGACTGAGCCGCCCTTCCAAGTGGAACATTCCGTCGCTATGGAGACCGAAGTGGATGGAAAATACCGGTCGTTTTTAGTGTGGTGTGAGGGACCACATTGTTATCGTACTCTGTGCGCAATGGATGGGCGATCGCGTTACTTAAGCGAGTTTGAGCGAGGAATGTTTGTGGGTATGCACATTGAGGGTGTATCGTTCTGTGAAATTGTGCGTCGTCTCGAGCGGTCGTTATCGGCAGTGCAACGGGCATGGCGAGAATGGTCTGAGGTAGGACATAGGTACCTTCAGCCGCGGCCGGGACGGCCCTGTGCGTCCCCAGCACACTAGGATCGCGCTCTTGTGCTCAGCGCTTTAGCGTCGTGTGTGTCCTCCTCAAGGCAACTTGGAGCTGTTTGGCCACCGGCAGGGGAAGGCGCACTCACTACGCGAACTGTATGGCCGCGTTTGGTAGATAGTGGGCTGCGCGCGCGTCGTGTGATACAGCGGATTCCAGTAACACCCAAGCACCGCAGCATACGTCACGAGTGGGTTGACGCTAGGCATTAGCAGGTTGCCGAGTAGAGGGACATTTTGTTTTCCGACGAATCAAGATTCGAATTGAGCGGTGATGTGCGAATTTTAGTTCGTCGGAGCCGTGGTGATCGTCTACTCGAGCAGTGTATGCAAGAACGCCCTATCCACCGACAACCGAGCATTATGGTATCAGGTGCGATTACATATGGTGGACGTACACGTCTGCTGCGTGTATAGCAGACCATGACGGGTCAACGATACGTAGATGAGGTGCTACGATTCGTTGTGTTTCCCTATGTTGGGCGGCTTCCAGGTCTGCTATACATGCACGACAACGTACGACAGCACATCGGGCATGTTGTACAGACCTTTGTGGAAAAGCACCGTATAAGAAAGCTTCCATGGCTAGCTCGGTTTCCGCATCTGAATCCGATCGAACATGTTTGGGAAATGACTGGTCGGAGACTTTTACGTTATTCGGCTTCCTTGGCTAACGTTGAGGAGCTATGGAGGCGAGTTGAGGTGGCATGGTTGGCCATCCCTCTCGCTACAATACAGCGACTTATAGACTCCATGCCACGTCGTGTAGCGATGGTACGCGAAGCTCACGGGGGATACTCTCGCTATCGATCTCTTCCCAGCAGAGTTGTGCCGCTCTCCATGTGAGAGTAAGTTACACTACTTTAGTACTACTTCCATACCAAATTTTATTGCGCTAGACACACGCGTTCAGATTATACAGGGTGTGCTCGTGAATTATTTCCAACAGTGTATTTAAAACTTAACTGTTGTTATGGTGATAACCAGAGCCACGACGTTTCGGGCTGTTGATGTCACCATCTGTATAGAGCAGCGAACGGGTTATAGCGTAGTAGTAACTTGCTTCTATCGAGCACATCGTTGTGCCGCAACGTAACGATACTGGTTGAATGCTGGCCCATGTAAAATTTGGGGGGGTTCTCAGTGGTGCAGCGTTCAATACGTGTTTGGTCGATTGCCTGACTAAAACTCAACCAGTGGCGTGGTATACTATATGTGGCGTGATGTGGTCCATGTGGCCCGAGTCTCTACAGTAAGGCGACGAGCCGCCAATGAGTTGCCCGACAACGTCGCGGCTCTGGTGATAACCATACAATTATCGCCAAAGTTTGGAGCAGTATTTAAAAATTCACTAACAACTCTGGCATTATGTGCTGGTGCTCCATCATATTGAAAATATATCATTTGAGACATATTTAATGGCAAATTGTCGACCAGAGGCTCAATGTGCTGCCTTAATACATTGAGGTATTTACCTTAGTTTAAGTTTTTATGGTAAATACTATATGCCAAAATTCTATTATCTAAAAGGGCACACCATACATTGAACCCTAATCTTCTTTGAACACTCAGAGACGTCATCCGTCCAGATGACATTTTGAACAAACAGCAGATTATTTAATTTTTCTAAATATCATCTACAAAATTCTAATCTTAGATTGACATCTCCAGCACGTAAATAATGAGTTAGCCCCGCTTTGTATGGTTTATAATTATTTTTCTTTCACATTCGGGAGCAGCGGCTTTTGGGTCAGACGTCTTGTTCAATTTCTCTGCAAGATGTTGATGGATTTATCGCAAGTGAAGCCTACACTTTGACTTCATCCTCTTGCTGCTCATTTTGGTATGTTTTTGCGCGTGGTTTGGGAAAGGACCAAAATCTATTAAATTTTCTGCTAACCGGCTGAAGGTTCTTACATGCGCTTGTCTTCTTTCCGGATACCTTGTGAAATATAATTCCGCGGCTAACGTCGCATTCTTATCTGATAACATATAGCATTCCACACTTTTCATAATTTTCGAAATTCATTGTAAAGTTTTATTCAGTTTTGTTATACTTTGACACTTAACATGCTGGTGCTTCGTACCAGCACATAATGCCAGAGTTGTTATCGAATTTCTAAATACAAACTTAAGCAATTATTTGATACATCATGTGCCATCATAGTATGTATGGTTATCACCATAGCAACATAACTTTTAAATACATACATTAGTTTTAGATAGAACAAAATGAATTTTTGTTATTTATTCAATAACTATAAGAAATATACCCCACAAACTATATATATTTGTTATCAGAACAAAATTACAAATTATTTTAGGTCATAGCCAACTATGGTTTCCATTTAATAAAATAAAGTTACGTCTAAAATCTCGAAAATAAAAGATGGGAAAAAAATTCTACCTACGCCACTGAATTCTTCGTAAAAAGTTGCCCATATAATGTTTTATTTATAATACTCCATCTTTGATAATAAGTGAGATATTCGCGAATGTCGTTTTCGCAAAATTTTCAGTTTTTGCCGATAGGGCAAAAGACGATAGCTGTTCGGAGTTTTCGGCATTAGCATTTTCTCGAAAAACGAGATCATGACATGGAAGCTACTTTTTTTGTATCTCCTTTAGTTTCGGAGATAGCTTATGCGGACATCGAAATTGGGACACCTGTACAGTGAATTATAAAATTTAAATATTTAAAATTTCTTTTAACAAATTCCTTAAAAAGATATAAAAATAACAAGTTGAGGTAATACAAGAATTCGCTTCCCCCACCTAAGTATACAAGTTTTTCGATACACGTTCAAACAACATGAAATTATTCCATCGATGATTTTGTGGTGTGCTGACACGTGTTATCGTTTGAATAGAATTTAAGATGTAAAACTGCGCGAAGATGATACGTAATTATGTATAGAAATATAAATATGTACTAAATATAATTATGTATAAATTTATTTTTAAGGCAAATATCTCTAAAACGAAGGTTGATATGAAAATATATTATTCTTTTATTTCGACTTTAAATTTGAAAATAAACAATAGCATTTTACTTTACTGGCTGTCGTTCTTGAGATATAACCGTTTTAACTAATAAATGTTGACGTTTTTTTGCTAAATCCACAACTTTCAAGGTAAATATCTCGAGACCAAAGATATATATGAAAAAATATTATTCTTCTATTTCGATTTAGAAATCATTTTCTTACACGACTAATGTTGCAGTTTAAATTTTTTATCATCGAGCAGCATTGAGACGATTTTACATGAACCTTTAAAACGTTTTTCTGGTAGAAAAACATATTTAAAATCCAAAATAAAGAGTAGCATTTAATCCTATATAGCTTCATTTTTGAGATGTTCACTTTTAAATCTATCAATGTCGGCGTTTTTGCTAAATCTAAAACTTCCACGGCAAATATGTCAATCACGAAGGTTGGTATGAAAAAATGTTATTCTTGCATTTCGATTTAGAAATCGTTTTCCTACCTGGTTCATGTTAAAATTTTTCTTTAAGTTTCATTATTAGTGAACACCATCCCAAAAAGTGCATAGAAATGTTACTTTTACAACGTAAAGTTTTATTTTTCATCTCCTACTACATTAAAATAATTTTTTGGTATTTTAAGACTTTTTCTGGTAGAAAATCGAAAACAAAGGGTAACATTTTACCCTCTTTCCTTTTACAATGATCAATGTAGGCGTTTTTTGCAAAAACGAAGTACTTTATTTATATAAGTACTTTTTAATTTTACGTCAAAGTCAGTATCTTAGAAAGGAAATGTTAATTGCATCCTTGTTACTATTTTACCAATTACACTTGATTCGGATGGATTACGCCGAAGATCATAAAGGAATAAAACTCCAACTCGTTGAAAATTTTGGGAAATTAACGTAAAATTCTTTGTTTTAATTTTAATCCCTTTTATTATTTGAATTATTTAATAAATTAGTTTACAGACAAGAAGTAATTTTGAGGAAAGACCAGATCTTGAAGATGTAAGTTTTGAAATAAATTCTTTTCAAAATTATTAATAAAAATATTAGGTTTATTATGGTTTTCTACGAAACCTCCACGCTCTTCATCCCAGAACGACATCATTAAAAGTAATCGGAAGATCTTATTTGAGAAGAAAAATCTACTCCTTTGAAATTGAACACAGTGATTATCGAGGCGGAACGATCTTTATCGACGCTGGGCAAAACGGAAACGAATGGGAATCGGTTAATTTAGCCCTATATCTTTTAAAGAATTTTCTAACAACTCATATTTCATTGTTGTTGTGGTTAAGAGTCGTCTTTGTGTCTTTAGTAAATCCAGACGGATACGAAGAAGCCGAAAATGTAATGAAAACAAGTATTACTCGTTAAAATTAAAAATTAATTTAAACATTTTTAGAATAAAACTTTTAATACCAACCTAAAAGGTGATATTCATTGCCCGGGTGTAAACATAGCAATGAATTTTAAAGTTGAAGGCCCACCCAAGTTTACAACATGCGATAAATATCAAGGTTTGAGATATTTCTCCGAAAAAGAAAGCTTAAACATTAAAAATTATATAGAAAAACTTGGTGATGTTAAACTTTACGTAACTTTGCATTCAAAAGAGGAGGGGTTTATAGCGTATCCATTTGCGTATAAAGAAGAAAAGCACGGCTCAGAAAAAATAGCTAAAATCATGTTTAATGCGCTTCGGGATCATTCAATAATGAAAAACGAAAAATTCGGGAGTTTAAGTGAGATTATGAAGGAGAAATTTAGTGGTAGTTCAATCGATTGGGCTTGTTCAGAAATGAAAATTCCCAGTTGTGTTTATTTTAGTGTTAGTAATAAGCTTAGTGATGTTCGAGAAAGTTACGCTGCGTATTTGGAAGCGTTAAAATATGGTATTATTGAGTTACAATTGAACGATATCGATGTTGGTGATGCTTTTCTTAATGAAACTTTATCTAAGAATTAGATAATTATTGTTAAAAATAATGTGATTGTAATAAAAATAAAAAATCCCGGCGCCTCCACCAAAAAAGTGTTTATTAAAAAATTTTATCTAAAAACGAAATTTTTTAATAAATATCAAATTCCACGAAGAAAAATATTTAAAAACTTTTATTCGAAACTTTTTTTAAACATTTTTATCAAAAACTTTTCCATCTTTATTCTAAAAGAGACATTCCAAATCGATGAAACCACACACACACACATCTAAAAAGAACCAGATTGCAACCACACTAACATAAATAAATCCGTAGAAAGCGCGACCGGAAGCACAAGTAGAGAAACTTAGTCCCGTCACTTCCGGGTAAAGTTTTATTTGTTCCGGGACCTGGAGTAAAGGTCCCAAACGTTGTCTCCGCTTTAAACTGAAAAACATGGAACCCAGTACAGGTGTTTAACCTTCCATCCTCTCTATAATGTGTACTTTAAGCTTCTTTCTCATCATTGTGGTCGTATTGTTGTGTCATATTTGATTTTTTGACAAGAATTCCATTTTTAGAGACGAGCTCGAATTCGTCAATATCCAATTAATACTGTTCCGTGTCCAAATGCAATCGAAGCTTTTATACCACTCGCATTCTCGTCGTTTATTAAACCGTTTTTGAAAAGTAGGACAACTAGTTACTTTCGATATTGGTAAAGGCTCTATTTGCGCGATTTAAACACGCGAGAAACTCGTCTAATAAACACCTCAGGTTCGATTATTTCGGTTTCAATTTGACACGTTTTCGATTAAGACTCTTCTAAAACAGGAATGATAATAGAATAAGGACAAATTTAGAATTTAGTTTAGTTAATGTTAGTGAACAAAATTTATTAGCTGGTCAAGTTTAATAATAATGTTGGAAAATTGTTGTGGCACACGGTATGTGTGTTGTGGAAATTAATTTGGAAATTTCAAAATAACCCAATTTACTATTCGCAGGTTAATTACAATCGATAGCTGTTCATCAATTAGCTCTTTTTAAGCACTTCAAAATTCTCTCCGTAAAATAAATCGATACTATGGGTAAATTAAAAGGTAATTTTAGACGCGAAATTTGAAAAGATTATATCTCAAGAAGTGATTGAGATATCAATATGATTTAAAAACCATTTTATTGCAAATTTAATCTAGTTCTATCGTAGCAAAAATATTTTCTTCATTCCCAAAAATCTCGGTGATACGATTTTTTACATATAGATATCTATTTAGATATCTCAAGATCACGTTAAGATATCATCATGAAATAAAAACCATTTTGAAGCAAATTTAATTAGTATTTGATGAGTTAAAAATTATTTCTTTATTCCTACAAGTTTAGACATCGCGATATTTTTTTAAATTTCTGCATAACCATGTAATGAATACAAATACGAAATTTGAAAACATTCTATCTCAAGAAATAATTGAGATATCAAGATGATTTAAAAACCATTTTATTACAAATTTAATCTAGTTTCAACATACTTAAAATATTTTCTTTATTCGCATAAATCTCAGTGATACGATTTTTTAAAGTCAACTTTGTGATTAGTGAGGTTAAGCGATAAAAATATAATTTACAACGTAATATCTCAAGGTCGCATTAAGACATCATCATGAAATAAAAACCATTTTGAAGCAAATTTAATTAGTAGTTTAGATATCGCGATATTTTTTTTTAATTTCTGCATAACCATGTTATGATTACAAATACGAAATTTGAAAACATTATATCTCAAGACATAATTGAGATATCAAGATGAATTAAAAACCATTTTATTGCAAATTTAATCTAGTTTTATGGTACCAAAAATATTTTCTTCATTCCTAAAAATCTCGGTAATACGATTTTTTAAAGTCAACTGTGTGGTTATTAGGTTAAGCGATAAAAATATAATTTATAACGTGATATCTCAAGATCGCATTAAGATATCATCATGAAATAAAAACCGTTTTGAAGCAAATTTAATTAGTATTTGATGAGTTAAAAATTATTTCTTTATTCCTACAAGTTTCGACACCACGATATTTTTTTTTAATTTCTGCATTATTATGTTGTGATTACAAATACGAAATTTTAAAAGATTATATCTCCAGAAATAATTGAGATATCAAGATGATTTAAAAACCATTTTGTAGCAAATTTAATCTAGTTTCAACACACCAAAAATATTTTCTTTATTCCCATAAATCTCGGCGAACAGATTTTTTAAAGTCAACTTTGTGGTTATTGAGGTTAAGCGATAAAAATATAATTTATAACGTGATATCTCAAGATCGCATTAAGATATCATCATGAAATAAAAACCATTTTGAAGTAAATTTAATTACTATTTGATGAGTTAAAAATTATTTCCTTATCCCTACAAGTTTAGACATCGCGATATTTTTTTTAATTTCTGCATGACCATGTTATGATTACAAATACGAAATTTGAAAACATTATATCTCAAGAAATAATTGAGATATCAAGATGATTTAAAAACCATTTTATTGCAAATTTAATCTAGTTTTATTGTACCAAAAATATTTTCTTCATTCCCATAAATCTCGGTGATGCGATTTTTTAAAGTCAACTTAGTGGTTATTGAGGTTAAGCGATAAAAATATAATTTACAACGTGATATCTCAAGAAAGCATTAAGATATCATCACCAAATAAAAATCATTTTGAAGCAAATTTAATTAGTATTTGATGAGTTAAAAATTATTTCTTTATACCTACAAGTTTAGACATCACGATATTTTTTTTAATTTTTGCATAATTATGTTGTGATTATAAATACGAAATTTTAGGCAACTATATCTCAAGAAATAATTGAGATATCAAGATGAATTTAAAATCATTTTATTGCAAATTTAATCTAGTTTGAACACACCAAAAATATTTTCTTCATTCCCATAACTCTCGCTGATACGACTTTTTAAAGTCAACTTTATGGTTATTAAGTTAAGCGATAAAAATATAATTTACAACGTGATATCTCAAGATCGCATTAAGACATCATCATGAAATAAAAACCATTTTGAAGCAAATTTAATTAGTATTTGATGAGTTAAAAATTATTTCTTTATTCCTACAAGTTTAGACATCACGTTATTTTTTCTTAATTTCTGCATAATTATGTTGTGATTACAAATACGAAATTTAAAAAGATTATATCTCAAGATATAATTGAGATATCAAGATGAATTAAAAACCATTTTGTAGCAAATTTAATCCAATTTTGTCACAATCAAAGTAATTATTTCGTTCCTATTAATTCCAATGATATGATTCTTTGAATAAAACGTAATTGCTATTTACTTCGAAATATATATTTCAAGGATTAAAAAGAACTAAAAATTGCAAAATTTTAATCTCTTTTGTGTTCAGGATTTATCATAAACGAGCGTATTTGTTGGAAATACCACTGGATTGTTATCCCATTGTTATAAACAAATCCTATTAGTGTTAATTGCAACATTTATCGATTTAATTAATTGACATTTGCAAAATGTACCTATATACAAGTTTAATTTAAAAAAATCACTAAAAAAGAGAAAATTAGTTCTAGATGTTATTTTAAGACATCGATCGAAAGCAAAGATAGAGAAAGATAAAAGTAAAAAGGCTTGCTAAAAAAATAAAAAAGCAGAAAGGAGAACGTCTTTTAGTCGTCATCAATTACGAGGCACAAATCGACTTTCGAGGATCAGATTCTCCGGTGGAAGAATGCGACGGACATCAACCGGAAGGTCGCCCCCCTTTTCGACGGATAGCGACCCGATAAGCGCGTCTTCCTGGATCTCGCAGGATCCAGCAGGAAGGAAGGTACGTGACACGTCGTTTCCTAACTTTAATTTTCAGGGCCTGTGCTTCGGACAGAGGTGGAAGCGAAAAAGAAAATTTCGTTTTAACCGATTTTCTCAACCATTAGATTTTATTTTGAATGCTTTAGAAAACATTTTTTTGTCAATGTATCAATTTAGAAAAGAAAATTCTAAACTTACACTAAAAATGATTAATCTTCCCTCAGAAAACACATCGTATTTCAACTTCTCTTCCACTTCTTATTTTTCTCTTCCACTAAGATTCCCGTCTACATCATTATTTACACGAAAATAGATTCACGATGGTACATCCAGAGCAAGAAGTATTTTCACTGGGAGCTAATTTAACCTCAGGTTACCACCGTGAAAACGAGCATGCGCACAACCAAAAAACCGTGTCTCTTAAACGAATCGTTCTCGCGTTTATCGTTCAGTGTAGTTTCAGTGTTCCATTCGAGAACCGGTGTTCAGGAAAATCTCCTGAAAATTGAAAATTTACGCGGTGTTTTCTTAAAATAATTTAAAAACAACTTTAATTTGAAAGAACTTTTAAACTCGGTGTTACAAGAAAAGTTTTAAGTTTAAATGTGATTAAGTAAAAAGAAATGGTTTTGAAACAATAATAAATTGTGTAATAAAAGAGTCTGTGAAAATGTTTAAAATGATCGTTTTCATCGTATTTCTTCATTTAACTTTGATAACATCGTTCCAAGGTAAATTTAACAAAAAAACGTGTCCTAATCTTTTTGGTTAAATAATTTTTCTTTTTTTAATTTTGATTTGATATAATAAATTCATCTTGTAACCGAAACGTAGAAGGGAAAAGGGGAATGTTTTATTAATGTCGCGAATAAATTACTGGATTTCGTTCCTTCGAACCGGAAGGAGAATAAATCTTTCGACCGCTCAACGCAAACCGCGCGGAAATATGTAAAGAACGTTTTACTCACGATTGAAAATCTGTGTGCACGTCGACGACGACCAACGTCGAATAGAGAGAGAAATGAAAATATCGATCTCTATGACGGTGATTAAGGGCTTTGTAAACAACGTCCCGTGAGAATTTTCCATCCCTACGGAGTAACACTAATGTAGGTACCAGTCCTGTCAAATCTGTATCTTTCAAACGGTATACGTTGAGATTTTTCTTTGTATTCATTTTTCCTTATAAATTGGAAATGAAATCATCGATGGAAAACTACTTCATTTTCGCTATTTGTTAGCTACAAATTTAATTAGTTCCATGAATATGAAACGTACAGCAATTTTTTGCTTTTGTACTCTTTTCATTTTGTTCATGTCAAACTTCATTATTTCAGTTATTACAGCAGTATCGTTTTTATTCCTTGAATTTGAACGGTTTTTTTATGTATTCGATTCCAATGTGTTGTCGAACACATGCTTGTTTCTTTTTGTTTCTCTACACAAAGAACCAACGAATTCTTTTTGTTATATTTCACATGCAAGACATGAACAACATTATCTTTCTTCATCTTTCGCAGTAACATAAGCTTCATGTACACTTCTGTACGAACAATCCTGGAGAAAATATGGATTTTGTGCATTATTTTTCTTCGTCTCGACCTGAATAAAGATTAACTTTAATAACTTTTCTTGGTGAAACATCAGCTTTATTCATTCTTGTAAGGTATGAAAACATTCTGTCATCGTTTTTAATATGATTGGAGAAGTAACGAGCATGTTATGACACGTGCAATTCTTTTGTATTAAATATACACCTATCCCCCGATTTACACGGTAGATACGTTCCTGAGAAAAACGTGTAAATCGAAAATTAAAGATTTTCAAGTCAAAACCGTGTAAATCGAAAAGCTTGCAGAAAATGCATAATTTTGCTATTTAACAGTTGTGATTTTTTTCAATATTTTTAGGTGTACACAGAAATAAAAATAATATGCATTGACAGGTTAAATATGTAATATATTTTAAGTTAGCACATAAGCTCGGAATTCCCAGTGAGATGTGTACACAGCGCACGTGTTCAATCACAGTAGCATTTAGTAGAGTGCGATAAAAACAAAAAAAAACTTATTTGGAAAACCGTGTAAAAGCGAAAACGTGTAAAACAAGTACCGTGTAAATCGGGGGATAGGTGTATTCTTAAAAGTCTTTTCTTTCATCACTATAACCCATTGAGCAATTTCACCAACACAATCCTGCGATTTTAGATTTTTAGCAAAATAATAAGTTATATCTCAAAAACTGAAACAGATAGGAAAAACTTTTATGAAACAAAAACGACAGATATGAATGAACAATCCTGGAGAAAGTATGGATTTTGTGCACTGTTTTTCTTCGTCTCGACCTGAATAAAGATTAACATTAATAAGTTTTCTTGGCAAAACATCAGCTTTATTCATTTTTGTAAGGTTTGAAAACATTCTGTCATATTTTTTAATATGATTGGAGAAGTAACGAGCACGTCATGGTTCTTGCAATTCTTTTGTATTAAATATATTCTTAAAAGACTTCCCTTTCATCATTATAACTCATTGAGCAATTTCACCAACACAACCCTGCGATTTTAGATTTTTAGCAAAATAATAGGTTATATCTCAAAAACTGAAAGAGATAGGAAAAACTTTTATGGAACAAAAACGACAGATATGAATGAGCAATCCTGGAGAAAGTATGGATTTTGTGCACTATTTTTCTTCGTCTCGACCTGAATAAAGATGAACTTTAATAAGTTTACTTACAATTAGTGAAACATCAGCTTTATTTATTCTTATAATACTTTTGTATTAAATATATTCTTAAATGACTTCCCTTTTATCATTATAACCCATTGAGCAATTTCACCATCACAACCCTGCGATTTTAGATTTTTAGCAAAATAATAGGCTATATCTCAAAAACTGAAAGAGATAGGAAAAACGTTTATGGAACAAAAACGACAGATATCAATGAACAATCCTGGAGAAAATATGGATTTTGTGCGCTATTATTCTTCGTCTCGACCTGAATAAAGATTAACTTTAATTAGTTTTCTTAGTAAAACATCAGCTTTATTCATTCTTGTAAGGTTTGAAAACATTCTGTCATCTTTTTTAATATGATTGGAGAAGTAACGAGCATGTCATGGCACGTGCAATTCTTTTGTATTAAATATATTCTTAAAAGACTTCCCTTTTATCATTATAACCCATTGAGCAATTTCACCAACACAACCCTGCGATTTTAGATTTTTAGCAAAATAATAAGTTATATCTCAAAAACTGAAACAGATAGGAAAAACTTTTATGAAACAAAAACGACAGATATGAATGAACAATCCTGGAAAAAGTATGGATTTTGTGCACTGTTTTTCTTCGCCTCGACCTGAATAAAGATTAACATTAATAAGTTTTCTTGCCAAAACATCAGCTTTATTCATTTTTGTAAGGTTTGAAAACATTCTGTCATCTTTTTTAATATGATTGGAGAAGTAACGCGCATCTTATGGCAAGTGCAATTCTTTTGTATTAAATATATTCTTAAAAAACTTTCCTTTCATCACGATAACCCATTAAGCAATTTCGCCAGCACAACCCTGCGATTTTAGACTTTTAGCAAAATAATAGGTTGTATCTCAAAAACTAAAAGAGACAAGAAAAACTTTTATGGAACAAAAACGACAGATATGAATTGAGCAATCCTGGAGAAAGTATGGATTTTGTGCTATATTATTCTTCGTCTCGACCTGAATAAAGATTAACTTTAATTAGTTTTCTTAGTAAAACATCAGCTTTATTCATTCTTGTAAGGTTTGAAAACATTCTGTCATCTTTTTTAATATGATTGGAGAAGTAACGAGCACGTCATGGCTCGTGCAATTCTTTTGTATTAAATATATTTTTAAATGACGTCCCTTTCATCATTATAACCCATTGAGTAATTTCACCAACACAACCCTGCGATTTTAGATTTTTAGCAAAATAATAGGTTATATCTCAAAAACTAAACGAGATAGGAAAAAATTTATGGAACAAAAACGACAGATATGAATGAGCAATCCTGGAGAAAGTATGAATTTTGTGCAATATTATTCTTCGTCTCGACCTGAATAAAGATTAACTTTAATAAGTTTACTTAGTTAAACATCAGCTTTATTTATTCTAGTAAGGTTTGAAAACATTCTGTCATTTTTTTAATATGATTGGAGAAGTAACGAGCATGTCATGGCACGTGCAATTCTTTTGTAATAAATATATTCTTAAAATACTTCCCTTTCATCATTATAACCCATTGAGCAATTTCACCAACACAACCGTGCGATTTTAGATTTTTAGCAAAATAATAGGTTATATCTCAAAAACTAAAAGAGATAGGAAAAACTTTTATGAAACAAAAACGACAAATATGAATGAGCAATCCTGGAGAAAGAATGGATTTTGTGCAATATTATTCTTCGTCTCGACCTGAATAAAGATTAACTTTAATAAGTTTTCTTGCCAAAACATCAGCTTTATTTATTCTTATAAGGTTTGAAAACATTCTGTCATCTTTTTTAATATGATTGGAGAAGTAACGAGCATGTCATGGCACGTGCAATTCTTTTGTATTAAATATATTTTTAAACAACTTCCTCTTCATCACTATAACCCATTGAGTAATTTCACCAACACAACCCTGCGATTTTAGATTTTTAGCAAAATAATAGGTTATATCTTAAAAACTAAAAGAGATAGGAAAAACTTTTATGAAACAAAAACGACAGATATAAATGAACAATCCTGGAGAAAGAATGGATTTTGTGCAATATTATTCTTCGTCTCGACCTGAATAAAGATTAATACGTTTTCTTGACAAAACATCAGCTTTATTCATTCTTGTAAGGTTTGAAAACATTCTGTCATCTTTTTTAATATGATTGGAGAAGTAACGAGCATGTCATGGCACGTGCAATTCTTTTGTATTAAATATATTCTTAAAAGACTTCCCTTTTATCATTATAACCCATTGAGCAATTTCACCAACACAACCCTGCGATTTTAGATTTTTAGCAAAATAATAAGTTATATCTCAAAAACTGAAACAGATAGGAAAAACTTTTATGGAACAAAAACGACAGATATGAATGAGCAATTCTGGAGAAAGTATGGATTTTGTGCAATATTTTTCTTTGTCTCGACCTGAATAAAGATTAACTTTAATAAGTTTTCTTGATGAAACATCGGCTTTATTCATTCTTGTAAGGTTTGAAAACATTCTGTCATCTTTTTTAATATGATTGGAGAAGTAACGAGCATGTCATGGCACGTGCATTTCTTTTGTATTAAATATATTCTTAAAAGACTTCCCTTTCATCACTATAACCCATTGAGCAATTTCACCAACACAACCCTGCGATTTTAGATTTTTAGCAAAATAATAGGTTATATCTCAAAAACTGAAAGAGATAGCAAAAACTTTTATGGAACAAAAACGACAGATATGAATGAACAATCCTGGAGAAAGTATGGATTTTGTGCACTATTTTTCTTCGTCTCGGCCTGAATAAAGATTAACTTTAATAAGCTTTCTTGCCAAAACATCAGCTTTATTCATTCTTGTAAGGTTTGAAAACATTCTGTCATCTTTTTTAATATGATTGGAGAAGTAACGAACACGTCATGGCACGTGCAATTCTTTTGTATTAAATATACTCTTAAAAGACTTCCCTTTCATCATTATAACCCATTGAGCAATTTCACCAACACGACCCTGCGAT